TGCCTCTTTGTCAGTCTCAGCCAATCCTATGGGGAAGCACTGGGATTGGATCAGGATACCACTTCTAATGATGTCAGGCAGTTTCAGAGGCAGACATTACATACATGTTTGTGTTCCTGACCCTATAGTGTTCCTTTAATTATAAAATATGGCATAGGCTTGGGGTGCGGTTTCTTTATGAATTGGTACAAGGAAGGGCAATATTAAATTTTGATACTTTAAAATCTAAATATGGCATAGTTAATACGGCTCAGTATTCTTATATGCAGATGAAATCTTGGCTCCCAAGACATTTTTTTTAAGAAACGATCCATCCACAATGGAGCAGAAGATGACAGTTTGAGAAAATATTTGTAGGCCTTAAACCTCCAAAAAAATATATCTAGAATATATGCATCTGCATATATGCATATCAGCTGTAAAAAGCCATCATTAGCATCGGCTTGGGAAAATGGCTTAAGCAAAACACTCACTGAAGAGAGTTGGAGAGAAATACTTAAAGGGCATAAATCACTCACATTATGCGTTACTCACATTACGTACGTCTTGCCTGTGGGAAACCCGGTACTTCAGACTCCTGTTGGAGAGGTCATATTCAGGCTGGCACAATGTTACATATATAGTGGTCCTGCCCAAAATTAAAGGCATATTGGGGGGACATAGCTGAAATAATTAGTTCATGTATGTCCAACTTGTCTGGTTACAACTACATGTTTGTTCATCCACCCACTGTAAAGCTCTGTGGAATTTTTTGGCTCTATATAAATATAATAATAATGTAAATTAGTGCACCTTCCGTTTTGCCCTAAAACCTACTTGTTACAATATTTTCAAATCAAAATAAAGAAATCTATTAAATATTTAATGTTTCATATAATTATAGCTACATTCATTGTAATAAGTAAGAATTGTCTGAAATTACTTTAACTACACAATCTTGTATAAATAACTTGGAACGCATAAAAATATATGAAATTGCAGCTAGGAAAATGGGGAAACCACAAAAGTATTGAAGGGAAGCTTGGGAGTCCTATTTAAGGAAAATGTTATATGTTCCCTTATGAATTAAGATAAGGTTTGTTAGCTATAAGAGGATTGGAATTGTATTACTATTGCACACAGGTTTATTGAATAGGTACTGTTATGAGTTGCATATGTAATTATATAGTAACTTCTTATTTGACGATTGATGCCACGATATGATGCTTATAGGAAAATCTTACCCCCTCCCTTTCTTTCTTTCTTTCGTTTATAGATTTAAGTTTGAACTCCATATACTTTATAAGTTATAAAAGATTCACTGCTGTTGTACTATTAAGGTGCATTGTAAAGAAGACAAGATTGGAAACAATTAAAACAATGTTAATTTCAGGAGAATAAGATATTTTGTGTTTATAGATTGTTACATTGTTTTATTTTCATATTAATAACTGTAAGTGAATTTGAAAATTATAAAAATAAAAATAAATCCTTGCCTGGAAATTATAGACCTGTGAGCTTAACTTCTGTGGCTGGGAAAATATTTGAAAGGTTATTAAAGCGGCACTGTCATGCCAAACTTACCTTTCCTCAATCTCTTCCTCTTCTCACCCTCTCTCAGGATCTGTTCTTCTTTTCTTCCTGTCTTCTTTAGTTTTCTTTAAAATCATAAGACAAAGTAGGGACTCTTTGCCTTATGGAGGATTCCTCCGCTTGACCAGCTCTGACCAGCAGAGGAGCAAAGTGTGCTTCATTTCCGCTGGTCAGAGCAATTTTCCCATAATTCTTACCTTTCCTCAGTGTTCCCGCGATACTTCCTGTCACTTTACACGAAACTGCCGAATTGCGTTCTAACTGAATTAGAACAGTATGTTCGTTTGTTTTAGAACGCAATTCGACACTTTATTAGGATCGCACTTTCATTCGAATGAATGAAACTCCGATCCTATTCATGCTGTGGCTGCACCTTGCAGCCACTCAATAGATAACTCCCTAATTCCCACAGGGAGCTATCTACTAAAAGACCTAAATTGGTCTTTCAGCCACATTTACTAATACCAAGTAAAAATTACTTAGTATTAGTA